TGTGTGTGTGTGTGTGTGTGTGTGTGTGTGTGTGTGTGTGTGTGTGTGTGTGCGCAGGTTGCACGGACTGCACACCGTGTGCACAAGTTGCGCGGGTTGTACAGGTTGCCGGTAAGTACACGTGTCCGTTCGGTCGGCCTAGCCGATCGTTCTCCGCCTTATCATCCCTCCCGTCCTGCCGCCGCCGCCGCGTCGATCCTCGACAGGTGTGTCCGGTGTGGATTAACGCGCGATCTCCTCTCCCGATCCCGAGGATCGAGGCGAGAGAGATCCTGTAGCGCGCCGCGTGTGGCAATTTCCTCGATCGAAACGGAAATCGTCCGCGACGCTGAAATCTCCCCTTTTAATCGGTCGGACCGATGTAATTTCAGCAAGACTCACCTGGATTCGAGCTGACCGGGTCCAGGGGTCTCCTCCGCGAATCGGAAATGTCGATCGTCTGTGGACCTCGGGGCTTCGGACCGCCGCAGGATCGACCAGTTTTATTCAACGCGGCGATACAACGCGACGATTCAACGCGACGAGGTGTTACGTCGCGAAATTTTGGTTAACTAGCACTGTTGCTAAATTCAGAGGGCAACGATATCCGCGCGATACGCGGTTAATTAACCCTTTGCACTCGACGCCATTTTAACTCGAAATGCAAAACAGTTTTTCTGACCTATAGTATCTCCATTTTATATAACCTAATGTATTTTATACGTTTGAAATTGAATTTCGTGATTACACTTTGCACAATATTTTTAAATGTAAACAAATTTGACAATGTTGACATTATTTTGAAACGAGACGTAGCAATTTTTTGTAATGGCGCCTCAGAGTCCCTACTCGAGTACGAAGGGTTAAGCATAGGTTACGTTCGAGGGACATTACTCGGATTTTGTAAATAACTATTCACTAAGCATGAACGCGACGCAGGACAGCTTTGACCGTCATTGATTTGAATTAGCGACACTTTTAGGTGATACTAGATAGATAGATAGAATTTCCCATCGAAAAGAGAGAGAGAGAGATCTATAACGTAGAGATTATCTAAAAATCTATAACGTGGAGATTATCTAAAAATCTATAACGTATCTTTTACGTTGATCATCGTAGCGATTTTATGGGGTAAGATATTACTATTAACTATCTTTAATTTGACACTATTGCGTTAATAATTAGAGAATATTGTTTCACAAGAATTTAGAATATTCGGTATACATAAATGTTAATTAATTCCAGAACTCTTCTTTAATTTAATTTAATTATCGCTACCAGTAGAGGGAGCACATCCAAATTGAAATCGCTGATATCGAAAAAGAAATAGAAATAGAAATAGAAATATCTTGACTGCATGTTCGAGTTATTGATTATATATTATATTATTATTGTTTTATTATATTATATTATTTTATATATATATATAGTATAATATTATATATATATATATTTATTATATTATATTATTTTATATATATATAATATAATATTATATATATATATATATATATATATATATTTATTATATTATATTATTTTAGCTATTTTATATTTAAACAAATACTTGATTGATAAAAAAAGACTATGTTAAGTACGTCTAGATCAAGAACAATAGTAGTAGATAATTAGCAGGACATTTATTGTGCACACTTTTCTATTTAATATACTCTCTCATAATCTGAAGGGAATCGAACGTGGATAGTGCGCGGTGTCATTTGATTTACTGCGGGTATTTTTCACTGCGAGTCGGAGTCTGTGGATCGAGGTCCTCGATCGTGTACACGTGGGATATTGAAACGTAGATTCTTCATCTCATCTGGTCGTAGGTACGAGTAATTTTTTCGTTCGTATATTTCCTCGATTTCTCTCTTGCTCACCTCTACAAGATTAATTAAACGTGAATGTCCCAAACAATATTCTTTTCATTGTAATTATACGGATAAAATACTGTTGCCAACGAAAATTAAAAGTTAATCGTTAAGCTTTCAATCGACTACAAATTGCAATATCAGATATAATTTTTTTTTCTTTTCCTGCAAACATTGTTCTCTATTGCAATTGAGAGAACAGATATATTATATTTATATTATATATTATATTATCTCTCTCTCTCTCTCTCTCTCTCTCTCTCTCTCTCTCCCTATATATATATATCT